CCATTACGGCCGATACACTATATGATTGACGATCCACCTGTACACAAACTTGACCAAGAAATGTTAAGGAGAACGTAACTCACAAACGTGTAATTTTAACGAAATATTTCGTTAACACAGTTGCGAAGTTGTAAACGTGAGTCAATTTAGTAATAGACTGCTGACTTTAAGTTTCGGGTAGGTGGGTACGTCACGAGTTCACGACTGTATTAGATATGGGGGCGAGGTGTGCACGGTGCGCAGGAGCCTGCCGCGCAGGCCTGCGTGTGCGTAGCGGGCTGGCGGCGGCGCGTTGCGTAAAGTCGACGGTGTCCTTTCGCCCGCGGGCCGTGCAGTTCGCGTCCGAGACACCGCGAGAATCCTTGGAGGCCACCGCTCGGAACACGCTCGGAAATCCGGCCAACCTTCCGACCGCGTTACGACACTGTATAACTTATTTACACGTTGCGAAATTCGAATCGATTGCAACTGCAGACATCGCACTTTAGCCTTGCCGTTGTAGGGATTTAATTAGGATCAGTTGCGCAGTCGCGAAACCTAAACGGATACGAGGACGCCCTCCAGACTCGGCTCCGCTCACTGATGGATTACAAAAAAGGGCCGGAGTGCAGTTGCAGAGTGACGTCACGCGTTTCGTCAACTAGTTCCCACAGCGGATCTGTTGCTACACCGAGCGATTAACTGGCGGCGTCGCACGTGCCCGGCCACGCACGACCACTGCACCGCGCATCCAGCGTACATCTACACCATCATTACAACAATCGACTCAACTTTACATAACTGAATGCACGCCTCGGTACAACTAATTCATAAATTGTCTTTGGCCTGCCGCATAATATTTCACTTGATAAGGTAAACGGTCCAGTAACCGTGAAGTTCTGAACTTCCCTGACTTTGCATGCGCGCTAGGCTGAAACAAGTAGACTTATGAAAATAAATTTTATACGACTAGTTAGATAATTTAGTATACTTTTAGTATATTATAATTCTATTAAATTTATAGAAATGTTAATTAGCAATAAAACAAAAAAAGTACAAAAAGGGCCAACTGTACCAGTATCCGGTAGAATTGTACTAGTTAACGTTTAATTGTCCCGAAATCCGGCAATTTTAACTGCAAATTTGAACTCTATTGCTTTACGTTAAAGTTCACATAAATAAAATATTTTTAAATAAAAAGAGTAGTGAAAACAATTAGGGTCTGTATTTAACAAAAAAGGCATGAATTGTTTCAATTTTTGTAATTAAAAAATTACATAAATTATTGGTTAACACTAGTAACACATTTTAATTGCATCTTCAGTAACCTTTGGTAAAAAACTACTAACTAATGGCTTCCTCAAGGTGTACCATAATAAAATACTCTTCCACTTCTTTATACCACGATCTTAAACTGCTTTCTTGAACTAAAGCACGGGTTTGCATTAGATTTTGGGCTACTCGCTGGCCTACTTCAGGGTGTCGCTTTATAATAAGGCTTCAAACCAGTGACGACCTGGTCTGCCATTTTTAAAAGGGTTTTTTCGCTTCAATTTTTTACGCTATCTAACAACTGCGCCTTAGTTACAGGAAATCCACTATCTGCCATAAGAATTATCCATCTACTTAAATGATCTTCTTCTTCTTTTGATAAACTGTAGCAGGTCCTTTGGAATATTCAATAGAATAGCGGCCGCGTATTTTGTCGTCCAACGTTGACCGTGGAATATTGAGCCTCTTTTTCTAACTGCGTCCATGGCCTTTAATATGGCCTTTTGTTTCTCAGTCATGGCTACCTGAAAGAAAATTAACACGTTTTTTGCAGAAATTAGCAAAATAGTAAAAATACAAACTTTCAAACATATTTATTAAAAAATGTGTGGTAATTCAATTATTTAAAAATCAGGAGCACCGAGCTTTTTCTCGCTTTCCTCAATTTTAGCTGATGCCAAGCAGTAGCCATTTCCTGTAACTAAAGCGCAGATGTTGCATGGTGTTTAAAATAAAGCAATAAAACCCTGACAGACCAGGTTGTCAATAGTTTGAAGTAATCATCCAGCAGAACACAGAAGCAAGCCAACTATTGGCCCAAAATTAAACACAAACCCATACGTTAGTTCAGGAAATCCGGAGTATTTTATTATGAGACAACTCAAGCAAGCAAGCAGCTTGAAGATTTTTACGGACACCAGAAGTCCAACTTGGAAAGGTATAGATCCCTCGAAAAGTTATTCAAGGTTTAGAGGCAGATAAATACGCAAATTAATTTACCTTTAGTCAGTTTCAATTATGGCTCAACGACTTTGAGACAATTTTTAGTTCCTATCAATGATTTTTTGTCACCTGGATAACTTCACAGGTCTGACTGACATCTTGCACCCAAATCTAAAGTCACGTGAGTTTAGTGACTTATGAATTAAAGTGAAAGTCATGCCAGAAACATGGGAAAGTACAGGCGTATGAAAATGTCGACAGGAGTTCCCAATAATGAGACATATTTATCTAACAAATTTTGTCAGCGATGACAAAACTTGTACTGAAAATTACACACAAATTACTATTTTTTGTCAAGACTCAAACTGCAAAGCATAATTAATTTATTATAATATTCAAGTAAATGAAATAACCATAGGTTTTTTGCCCTTGCTACAATTTCAACTACTGTCAAGGAGTACCTACTATACCACGGTGAACTTTGCATAACAAAATACACGGCCACTATTCTGTTAAACTTCAAAACCATGTTTAAATAATTAAATTACCATTGACTTCCGAAACATTTTTTATTAAATATTGCCTAGTTGTCATATTCCTATTAATGTACTAAAACTGCGCCCCATAAATAAAAAAAATACTGGTTTTAGAGCAGCAGAGCTGTAAAGCAAACTATACAAAAATTGGGAAATCATTCAGAAAAACACAAAAGCAACCAAATGCACGTGATAACAAAATAAACAAGATGCCTAGTAAGTACATTCTATCGAGTTAATGGAAAACAATACTTACCTCAAGGCAATAAGGACCATGACGGATTTAAATGCAACTGTTAATGCATGTCCCAGTATCCGGCAGAAAATATTTAATATAAACTAAAATTTCAAAGGAATATGAGACCTATTTCAAAGCAATAAGGATACAATACCGGGTTTCGGTGCAACGTATGTTACCGGGTTGATAGTGTACCAGTAACCGGTAAAAAATATACGAATTTACCGGGCACTAGGTCAAGTAGGGGTTTGTGAGTACCAATAAATGTAATATGCAAAAACATTTACGTTTCGATGAGATTTACCTTAATTTATAGATTAAATCGTTAAATAATACACAAAACTTTTTATAAACATTAACACTCTTACCTTAATTTTATCCGTCGAAGTATGGCTAGACGATTTCTGCAACGGGGTGGTCTCGTAGTTCACTGACAGAACTTTGAACTTACAGATAATTTCATTATAACGTATTTTTAAGTTTGCACAGTTTTGACGCCATTAAACTTTTTGGTGAACGTTGCTATTAAAATTGTATAAAATAGTACCAAGAATAAATTGCCATTTACAAACTCTAATTTGATTTTGGTAGAAAGACGCAAAAAGTAAAAAACTGACTAGTTAACGGGAACTAGGACACTAACGGGAATACGTACTTCTACCTTAACCGACCAATGTTGCGACAGTCTTAACGAGAGTAACCTTTAGCGGGAGCCAACCGCTCCATATTGTCACGACACGATCACTCGGTAAAATGTGTCCATAATAAATAGCAACCGTTTATCTAACATCTAGAAGTATTGCAACGCGTTATTAATACCGTGCTACGGTTTAATATGGTTCTTCGTAGAATGTATTGGCAGAGCAATCTGCAATCTCCTCGGAGCCGTCAGCTCCAGCGAGTCTTGCGTACGTCCGCAGACTATTTGTCAAATAGCTGAGACCGCAACTCGTAGGTTTTGTAACAGCGCTCTGAGCAAACTTGATATTTATTGCCTTCAGCTTTCGGAATACGCACGGCCAATCGAAACTTACACATTTCCTCACGATCGAATGTTACAATTCATTTCGACATTGTTACTAGACAATTACAGGGTAAATGATGCACATTGTACATACCTATTTATAAATAGTACAGAAGCTGCTCTTCAACTCTCAATTCCCTCTATATTATTACAACGTGGACTAAAAATAACTGTGCATGTGTGCGTTTAATGCATATGTTGATTTTGCTGCATCGAACTGCTTATCGTGCACCTGTCCTGTTTTGCCTTAACCTGTAGTATTGCTTATAATTATAAAACGTTATCTACCGACTCCTTTGAACGAGTTAATACATCTCAGTTATAGTAAAGTGGGCAATAGGTCTATTGCGTCCACAAGGCAGTCGGCGGGACGCGTTCCCATGAAACCGAAGATTCAAAAAGTCCCGTTTGTCGCCCGATTGGAGTTAGTTTACATTCAATCATACACGAGGCAGCCGGTGTAATGTTTCCAACTGTGCATTTAATAATGCATTTCGAAACGATGCGGCCGCTCTGTGAAATACGAGGTCGCGCACGGTGAGCCTAAAGCCCGAAGTGATGAAACAAAACCTATTGCATCACCGAACAGCTTTATGGTTCGCTATGTAATTATTTACATGACATTATTGTTGCATACGCACCAATACACGTTGTATCCCCTGAAACCATTTTGCAACGTGGACGCGAATACATTTAATGTATGATGCTTTAATAATAATTAGTGGAGCTCGCGAATCGTTAATAGTGGCTCGACAAAGCTTTGTGCACAAAGGGATCCATTTCGGGCGAGTGCGTATGGCGCGCGTGTATTATAGGCAAACGATCGCGATTTATATGGGTCACTGGTCATGCACGTCAAACACAGGCGACCTGACACGTAGTCGTCCAAAAGGCCCCACAAATACTAGATACTGCTATTCAGTATACAACTAGACCCATAGATACATATCTTACATAATTCCATTCGTTATTCCGATTATTCGACTAATTTCTTGTTTGTTTGTTTCAGAACGACGTTAAAACTGGAGTCGTTAGAAGACGCAGTAGTTCTCGACGATCCTGAAGAAGACTTACTTCAGGACAAGCGAGGATGTCCCGCCTACGTGTCACCAGAAATCCTAAGAGCTCACCGAACATACTCCGGCAGAGCAGCAGACATGTGGTCGCTCGGCGTGATACTATACACCATGCTTGTTGGGAGGTGCGTATCTAATGCCAACACTCCATTACTAGTAGTAAGGATCCGGTCCGAATAACAAATGTAGGTTAGGAGCAATTAAACGTGCATAATGAATGCGAAGGGCGCAGGGTGGGCGTCTTCACCTGCGAGGCGTGGGACTTACCGTTTGGAGAGATCACAAAGCGAGGGTCGCGGCGACCGTTGGCGACGTAGCCGTGGGGATGATCACCTGTCGGCCGTTACGCGCCAACGGCTAACAATTATATCACCCACATATAAATGAGGCTCGTGAAATCTTCGCCGCACCTGCCGCGGTCATGTGGCGAAGACGTTGCCCCGCGCCCCGCCTCCGCAAGCACCTGCCGTTCGCGAGCCTTTGTTTTCTACTTTTTTCGAACTCCCGCACCCGTAATTTATATACGAAATTCGGGATTTGGCCGCAATCACCGGCATCACCTGTCGCCGGAAGGGTTCCAGCATACCTGAGTTTTTGTTTTGCTTTGCAGCTGCGCTTTCTAAATGACAATCGGGTCGCTATTAATTGGGATTGCGTTTTTTCAAAACGTACCGATTAGGGACTCTACTCTCTGCCGATATTTAATGACCCAGACATACCTTTAAAATGCGATAAGCACCTTTCGCGGGGGTTTTTTTGATAGTTACAATGGCAGATTCATTAGATTAGCTATCTAGCAGATATGTCACCCATGATTAATGTTACTGTGTTACCGAAAGATATTTAACGTATTGTTTTTTTTTGTTGCAGGTATCCATTCAACGACTCTGAGCATGCGTCTCTGTTTGCGAAAATATCACGGGGTTACTTCGTGGTGCCGGAGTGCCTGTCGTCGCGGGGCAAGTGCCTGATCAGGTCACTACTGCGGCGCGAGGCGTGCGAGCGGTTGAGCGCGCGCGACGTGCTGCGGCACCCGTGGCTGGCGCGCGACCCGCGCAACGAGCTGCCGCCGCGCGCCGCCGCGTCGCACGACCGGCTCGTGCCCGACGTAGAGCTGGACGACTGCGTGTAGCCGCCGCTGCGCTGCCCGGCGCTGGCGCCGGCCCGCTCCGCTCCCGACCTGCCCAGGACGCCCACATTTCCTTATTTATGAATTTAACTTAAGTTATTCCGGCCTAGTGTAGGCTTGCGGTTGTCCTCACTGAAACAGTCCTACGCAGTTCGTCCGAATGTCAAACTTTCAGTAAGAAGTACCCCAAGCCAAATATTGTCTCTGTCGAGATTGTAAGTTAGTGTTTAGGATCCCCGGGGATCAAGCGGCCGGGCGGCTGGTCCGCCCCGGACACGCGCTACTAATTTATAAACGTAGAAGCTCGGACTTAACGAACAATAAGAATCGCATAAGTCCACCGATGCAAAACAAACGCACTGTTACAATGCTAGTTCAGGTTTATGCGGCTTTTATTGGCACTATTTCGTTCTGGCTTTTACGAGCTGTGGTATAGTCGTAACGTTCATAATGACAGAATAAGTGAGACTGATATCGCGTTCTTGTGATCTAACTGTGCAAACGGCATGGGGCGCGCGCGTCCCTCTGGAATGACTTTATTTATTTGAAGCATTCAGTTAACTACTATGTTAATTCCTCATAAGCCTAATGTAATCATATCAATTTCACATCAATATAGATGGTATATTGCATTGAAGTTGTTGATGTAGTGTTAGGTAAATGACCTATGTATATTTTGTATTTATATAAAGTTATATCGTGTAATTGTGATCTCCACCGATGTTATTTAGCGATTACTTGATTGCCATTATGTTGTTACGCAGAAGTGTTTGTTCTTTTGTTGCACAACGATCAGTTGCTTCCATCATAGAGTTATTTTCATTATATTATTTTGGTTATATTCAAATCGTGATTATTTGGCTAATCAACAAGCGAAATTATTATTTGTTACTATATTCAACCGAAATTATGTTTGATAAAAGATATATTGCGCTTCACCATGTACCGACAATGGTTGTAGAATTTGGTCTGTGCCATTTATTTAATTTAAACGTTATTTATTGTTTTTGTGATTGAAAGTGTGATGTCGGCACTCTCTTCCTATGCTAAATTATTGTTCCATTAGGTACTTGGTGTTGAGTTTTTATTTTTGGTCTAAATTAGATCGATCTTTAGTTTTTTTTTTTGTAACTAATTTGTTTCACATCAATCAGTAGTGTTACCGTATCAAAAATTGTTAAATTGTATCAATCACTTTTCTTTTTAGTTCTCAATCATTTTTGTTTATTATTTTTTGTACATTCGAGTTTATTTTGAATGGTACAGTTTAATTAGTCAAAAATCTTTCATGGTTCATGGAAGTGTTGTACAATAGTAGCCTACTGTAAAATAAACTATTACTACTTTAATTTATACAAACTGTAAATAGTGCTAAGATATCATAAGGATTATGAAAAAAAGAAAGAGATAGAGGGAATAAAATAATTTAGAAAAAATTTAAACTATACTTTGATTTAAACATCCCTAACACATGCCTACTATCTTACACAAACATGCTACACAAAATGTCTATGTTATTTGGAATTTAGAAATCTAATCATCAAAGTTCAGGTCGGCAAAGTTTTCATGACAAGATGTTGCGATATTGACGAAAAAAAATATAGTACTAAGTATAATATTGTTCTCAATTCTTCAATTTTTATATGCAGATGTAGATAACACATTAAGTTAATCTTTGCGACACTCATATCGGGGAAGAACAGTCAAGATATACGTAGGTATCTTTTTTATATATGTAGATATATAAAAAAGAAAAGTTTTTAACCGAGAATTTCGTTGATACTGTCCGATAATGCATAGGTATATTTTTGAACAATTGATAAAAGAAATATATTTAAAAACATGATTGTATTTTCTTCGCCAAATTGTAGAGGACAAATCTTTTTGTTCTCGATAGTATTAAAGAGGTTGATAACGATTTGTGTACGTGACCAAATAGGCGCCTGCGTCTGATAACATTACTTCTTTGGCGCAGTGGTCATAGCCACTGACAAGCACGAGGTCTGAGTAGCTGATCGAGTGAAGCAGCAAGTATGGTAATGTAATAAATCATCAACAGCCTATAAATGCCCACTGCTGAGCAAAGCTTCTTCTCACACGGATAAGGTTTGAGCATTAATCAACACAATTGCTAATGCGGGTTGGCGATTTTAAACTTATAATTAGAAATTATAAGCCCCAGGTTTCCTCACGACGTTTTCCTTCACCGTTTGTCAGTGGTGTTTAAATAATCTATGACTCGGAAAAAATCACATTGGAACTTGCCGTTGGTGGGTTTCGAACCCGCACTCTCATGCATGTAATACCGTCTTAAACCTTAGGGCCACCACGAAATTTGTACCTAATAAATACTTCTTAGTTCTTGTTCGAATAGAATACATATAACAAGTAACAACAGTCATAGATATAATATTTCTGTGATAACAGTCGACTAATGGATATTTGCTGAGCAGGTATACTGTAAACAGCAGTCTAGTTTGCCCGATCTCAAAATCAAATAAGTCCTAATTCTAGAAATAACTGCGCAAATTAATAGCTCATTCATATTATTATTTCCAGTTAGATCATTGATAACAACATATTTATTCTATGACCTCTTACAATCGGCCTTAAAAGAGGACACATGTTTTCACAACCGGAATCAGCCAATCATTGATTATAATTAATAAATCGTTAATATCTATGCATAGTTCACATCCTTATTGGAAACGGGAAACAAAAGATTCTTAGTTATAACAATACGTTATAATATACTACAGGAAGTAGGTACATGTTGGATTAGATTAACATATCTATCGATCGACGTCATAAAAGCATTTAGATTAAAGAGGGGCCACATCGCATAATAAATATACCTACATACATAACTATATCAAGGAAAATCCAATTCGCACGTTCCTAAATTCATATAAACATAGTCAAATGAGATTTCACTGCGCAGTTACGAACGTTTTTTCCTTATTTTATGTATAGTTAAGATAAAATAATTACTTATCATCGCTGTTGATATTTTATGTGGATTTTCGTCGATCAATTTTCGCTAGTCATGTTGCTAAGAGTTCCAATTAAATATGTGTTAATTCATGAACTTTCGATGTATTTTGTTTTATATGCAAAAATGCCTTTATGCTTTGTAAAACAAATATCAGCTTGTGTATCAACTATAAATGCAGTCAACTTTGAGTCTTTTTACAATTTAAAATGTATTCAATTGCATAGAGAAAATTAAAAATAACGAAATTTCCATAACCCCCAACAGTTACATTACACCCATAAAAATATTTTTTCTTATTCAATTACGGATAGGTGGGTCAAGAAGTCACCATGTCCATACCAATTTCGAAAGCCGAGCTTCTTGCTTTCTTCCTGCGATTTGGTAAGAATTTCTAAAAGACCGAGAAATAGAGTGAGTCTATAGTTGGGGAGAGAATTATCAACAGCCTGTTTTCGTCTACAGCTGGACATAGGCCAATCGCACGCTACTTAGCTCGATCTTTAGCTCTACGCATACAACGACTACCAGCCCTTTTGTGGATATCGTATCGCGTTTACCTAGACGGTCTCCACTCCAGAACACGTCTATGTAATGTCGTCAACGGTCATCGGTTCTTCGATAAATATGACAGGCCCACTGCCATTTCAGCTTGCTAATCCTTTAGGCTTCGTCGCGTCGGTAACTTTAGTCGGTCGGATCACCAGACAGATCTCAACCTTCAAAGAGACTGAGCATAGCCCTCTCCACAGCTCGCTGCGATTTATAATTGGCGGAAATGAAGTACGAATAAACGTTTGATAAATATTGACCAATTCAGATAATAATACGCTTGAAAAAACAACACGTTACGTTAATCTATTGGTAGGTAGGTACGGCAGATAACAATAATGTCTCCTCAGTTTGTTTTGTTCGCGTAATCTCTAGAACTTGCTCGACTTGCTGGCAAATCGCGGATTTGGAAAATTCTTTTCTTGTTTCTTTCGATGTTGATAGTCAGGTCATTATGAATAGACAAACAGGATAAATTTCTTGATGGTAGACTGTTCGCCAGAGATGCGCCCTAATAGGATAGCTTTTAGGGAGGTGCACCTGTATGCAAATACCTCCTCAAGATATCTACCTGTTTTAATTTAGGCCTCTTTTAGCTGTATTTCTCCAATAGCTACGATACTGAGCACTTTGTCATATCAAAGTAAAGACTCGACTTCCTCCTTGTTCAGACACGTTATTTTTCCAGGAAATATCTATACATATATTTAGTAAATAAATAATTAAGTTTCGTTTGTTTTTTATTATACGTATTGTTGTTGTTTTGTATTTGGATTCGTCACATGTTTTGAAACAACAAAATTGTAAACAAATCAAATGAGTAATATTTACTGGACTTGTTCTTACGCAACAATGGGTTTTAAAACCAAACCCTTAAGCAAAAGCAAATAAATAGTTTAATCTTTGAATTAGCAAAGAAGTGACGAATTCGACAAACATTATGTTCTCAGAATGTAGACAAACGCGATTAGAACGCCATCTATTGCGACCAAATGTGAATCATAACAATCAAGGAAGTCTCAAGAAGCTTTATACAAACGTAAAAATGACGATATTTTTTTATATTTATTACATATTTATTTCGAATTCAACAGATAATGTGTATTAATAAAACTGAAAAACATTAAAAAATTGTAGGTGCCGCTAGTGACACAGCAAAGTTCATGAAATTGACAAAGTACTTATAAGTATATTAAATAAAACAGTATCAGGGGAACCACATAGTCTTAATGACGGAACATAATTATATTATTACGCAATAAATAAACATGTACGTTCTAGACGGTTATTTACCGTAACTTCAGTTATTGTTACTGTATTACGAACTTTTATGTGCAAGAAACATTTATTAATTTCTATTAATGGATAATGTAATTTGTTACATAAGAGGTGCTTGCTATTCTAGAAAATTTACTTGTTCCATGTAATCATGAAACAAAATAACATAACATGCCACTGT